TTTAGATTATCAATGACAAGTTTATCAAATCTACTCTTTATTTAGTAAATCAAATCAATGGGCAAATCAAATTAAGAGATTGTCAGTCAGTTTCAAATAAGTTTATTTTCAGCTCTAGTATTTATATTCTTAATCTTAAATTCAGTATAAACCATAAGTGCAAATTTGGCCAGCCTCAGACTTTCCCATTTTAATAATATAATTATATATAATAATTATATAACTATATAATTATAGTATGATATATAACCAGCACTCTAACATATATACAGTAAACATTTTTATATACGTCATAATGTTTGGCTGTTTTTTAATCTACTTTTTAGAGAATAACTGGGTAATAAAAGTTCATAGTAAATTAGTAAAGGCAATCAATATCACACATTTCAAGTCTGCTGCTCTGAATAAGTGGTATAAAGCGATATGCTACAATGAACAAGTTCACCTTCATCCCCCAAAAAGGGCTATGAAAGGACGTGAGGCAAAGATTATTGGAAAAATAAAAGTTACTTTAAGAACAGCAGTGACTTTTTGTTGTCTAGTGTATATTTTTAGTTACCCCTGTTACTCAAAGTTAGGAAATATGTTGAAAAAGAAAAATACATCTTTACATTTTTACATTGACTTAACATATTACATGTTCTCCTTCTTTTGTCCCTCAGGTGTTCTACTGTATGGTGCTCTTGGATGGGATGTGAGAATGCCGAGAGACATTCACGGTCTTCGTGGTTCCTGTCTGGTTATTCCATGTTCTTTCAGATACACATTATACCCACCTAAAAACCCACGTAGGATTGTGTGGTATCAGTGGGACTCTATGCATTATCCTTTAGTCTATGATCCATGGTATCCAAATGATGTCATTTACAAGTTCAGAAGAAAAACATATTTAAATGTAAGTTCACATGGGGATTGCACTCTGCGGATTGATAAACTGGCTCACTCTCACCATGGAGAAAAAATATACCCATGGATCGACCCTGAAAATGTTGGAAAGAGCACTTACAGGTTTTTTGACGTTACCACTACAGTCTTTGTTGATGGTATGTAAATATTATTGTATACTGGAAAATATATGTGATTGTTCAACTATAGTAAAATATTATGTCATGATTAAAAAAAGACACAATAAAATCTTTTCACAGTAAAAGGTTTATGTTCAAAATGGAGACTAAATTTGGTTGTACTGTACGTTTCACATTAGCATGACTTCTCTTGTCTTTATTCTGATGTCATACATCAATGAAAACTGATCTCTGAAAAATGTAGTTGGTTAGCAATGCAACTCAGTTATTTTAAAGTGTCTATTTAGGGACCAGTGTTTATTTAAAAGCTAAATTACATTATTAACATTTATATTTAGTCACTTTGCAGATTTTTTTTTTTTAAATTTTTTTTTTTAAGGCATTTACAATAGATCCTTTTTACAAGAAGTTATGACCCACTTAATGGTCATCATAATCTTAAATCCTGGAAAGTTTTTATATTTAGATTTTTTTAAAAATAAAAACATATAAACATTTATAAAATAACAAATTACCACCTATGCAAGGTCTTTATAATGCAGAGTCTAAGGACCAGGCAGTAAATTTGATGTTGTTCTCTCTTCTGGCTGCCGTTATCAGTCTTGCATAATTTTTTTCCTTTTTCTGAAAGTCTTGATAACACCATCCAGAATTTATTATTATTATTATTATTATTATTATTATTATTATTATTATTATTATTTCAACACATGGGATTGTAATATATATATATATATATATATATATATATATATATATATATATATATATATATATATATATATATATATATATATATATATATATATTTGTTGTACTCTCCAATTCTCTCTCTGCGCTCTAAGTTTGCCCAACCATGACAACTTTTGCTACCGAGCAACCCGTAAATATGAAAAGGGTCCATTGAGGAGATATTCAACAAATCAACATGAGGAAATACACAAAGGCATTGCTAAAAGAACTGATCGTGTTCTGAGAATTAAGTGCTAGAGTAAAGACATTTTTTGAGAGAGAGAGGGAAAGAGAGAAGAGTGGGGAGTGTTTGTATAGGTGGTTTGTCCACTTATCTGAGTTTTGTGGGGGGTGAGAGAGTAGAAAAGGTCCTAGTTTTATTCACAAGGGTTCTGGTAATCTGGAAGAGACGATATGCTATTGATATACTAATTTTAATGTTTCTGTGAATTACAGACAATCCAAAGCAGCCCAGCATTGAAATTCATGGAGGTGACACAATGGGTCAACAGATCACAGTAGTATGTTCGACCTTCCACACATGTCCGTACAAAAAACCAACAATCACTCTGAATGGCTTTGATGAAAAAGGCCAAATAAATGATGAACATATTAGAAATGGCTTGTGGAAAACATCTCTGACACACACAGGTGTTGTAAAGACAGAAAGCCTCAATTTTCAGTGTTCAGTAACACATTATGGGGACAGAACAGTGAGATCTACAAAGTCTAAAAGTGCCAAATGTGAGTGTAAACAAATATGATCTGTTCTGTGCACTATTATTTGCACGCTCACTTTAAATGTTGCAGATTAACCTGTTTTAAGATTTCTTTTCACTTTCAGGTGTTCATCAAAAAATAACAATTGAGCCTGCAGTGGGAGATGTCACTGAGCACGTCCAGCAGATCTTCACCTGCACCGTCTACCATTCCTGTCAGAAAGAGAGTCCAACCATCACATGGAACTACAGGGACATGCAGATCTCAGAGGGGATAAAAACACTTTCTGGTTTAAATCGGGCCACCTATTCCAAAATGACCTTTGTGGGTACTATCAAAGACCATGGAAAGAGACTGATTTGCACTGCAAGGTTTTCTGGAGGAAACACTGAAGCTTCTGTCATTATACGAGTACAGCGTGAGTAATTTGTAAGCATCTTGTCTGATGTGTGTGATCTCTCAATATTTAATCTCTCTAAATATTCACCATTCAAAATACTACATTTTGGTTGAAGCATTATTTCATCTTATAAACCAATGTGCTTATCAAATAAAATAAAAATTTATTTAACATCGATATTCAATTACTTTTATTTTGAATAACAAGCAGAACTTATTGAATTTTTTCATAAGTTTTTATTTTATTAATTTATTTTAATTATTGACTATACCATTCATATTTTCCATCGTTTATCCCACAGGTGTTCTGCTCTTTGATGCTTTAGGATGGGAAGTGAAAATCCCACAAGACATTCACGGCCTCAAAGATTCCTGTCTGGTGATTCCATGTTCTTTCAGCTACAAATCAAACCCACCCAAAAACCCAACTAGAGTCGTGTGGTATCAGTGGTCTTCTAGTAGCCGTCCTTTAGTTTATGATTCTCGGCATGCAAATAATGTCATCACGAAGTTCAGAGGAAAAACTGAATTATATGGAAACACAAACTCAAATTGTAGTCTCCTGATCAAAAACCTGGAACAGTCCCACCATAATGAGAAATTATACACAAGGATTGACCCTGAAAATACTGCGTGGACCAACTACAAACATGATGATATCACCTCTACAATCCTTATAGACGGTATGAAAGTAATATTAGAATAATACTCATTCACTCTACGTCTGTAAATGTCCAACTGCAAAGATTGTATCATTAACAACATCAGACTTATTATAATGCTTGTCTGAAATTGTTTTAAATTTAGTTTGAAGAATGTTTTGCCCTAAACGTATATTTATTTTTACATATCTTTGCATTATCGAAATAATGTCATAGAAAAAAATATTTGTAAAGTTCTGAGAAAATAAAACACATATTTTAAAGTGTTCAACTTTAATTTTTACCTTTCTGTCAATAGAAAGTCCACAGCAACCCAATATGGATATTTCTGGAGGTGAAAGGATGGGCGACAATATTACGGTAGCATGTTCAGCTTTCCACACGTGTCCACACAGCAAACCAAATATCACTCTTAACGGTGTTGAAGGATCTGATGAAATAAAGCATGAGTCCTTTAAAGATGGTCAGTGGAAAATCACTCTGACACGAAAAGCTGTGGTAAAGGCAGAAAGCTCAACCATTGAGTGCTCAGTAACATATCATGGTGGTGTAAAAGCGACAGCTACAATGACCAAAAATGCAAAATGTGAGTGTTCACAAATATGAACAGCTGCATGATCTATTAGCTATAATGTTTGAAAGCCATGTTGACAAGAGGTCATTTCACTTTCAGGTGTTCATCAAAAAATAACGATTGAGCCTGCAATAGCAGATGTCACTGAGGGTGTTGAACAGCTCTTTAACTGTACCGTCTACCATTCCTGTCAGAAGGAGAATCCAACCATCACATGGAACTACGAGAACATGCAGGTCTCAGAGGGGAGAAAAACACTTTCAGGTTTAGATCGAATCACCTATTCCAATATAACCTTCCTGGGTGCGAAAGAAGACAATGGGAAGGAGCTGACGTGCACTGTACAAATGTCTGGAGGAAACAGTGAAAAATCTGTTGTTTTACGTGTAAAAGGTGAGTTATTTGTTAGTGACATATTTTGGCTTATACTCAGGATAAAAGCACAAATCTGTGTCATTTTATGCATTATTTACTCCTAAATGATTCAGATTAGTACTGTAAAATGACGTTGCACCTTGCAAAATTAGCCATAGTTTTACTCCACTAACAATATTTTAGTTTAACAATGACATTAAGAAATTAAGTCGACTTATTAATTTTTACAAATTTAAGTGGCTTAAACATAAAACAAATAAGATGTGTGCCCAAAAAACTCGGGATGTAAATTGTTTCAGCTCATTGTATATAAGTAGTTTGAAAAAACAGCAAATTTCATTATTTTAGTGTGATTTCATCACTTCAGCTACAGTAAAACTTTATCATGTTCCTAGGAGCCATATTGTGTTATCATTATTTTCAACATTTACATAATTGCGTATTTTTTAGCCTAAAGCTTCACTTCCCTCATGCTGTCAAAAACATTTTGTTTCTCTTACAGAGTACCAAAAACCAGATCCAATCCTGAATGAAAGTATGTGCATTTTTTCAATGTTGTCATGGTCGTCTTTCTCTGCACTCCTCCACCTTTTGGATGTAAATTAATATAATTATTAGCCAAATGTCATGTCATAAGGTTGATTAATCCATTATATTGTGTCATTTGTAATTTTAGCTTACTTCCAATACATGGCAGACGTGATACCCAAGATCACTGCTCTTCCTCGTTCCTGTGTGGTGATACCGTGCAGTTTTACTGCTGAAGATGAACATCTCACTCGACTTCGTGTTCGTTGGGTCAACAAAAAGGGTGGCTACATGTATCACACTGACCCGGTGGACGTCTTGGACAACTTTAAAGGTCGCACAAAACTCCTCGGAGACCCGGATGAGCAGAACTGTACTCTGGAGATGGACGATGTACGAACTCATGACAACGGGCCGTTTTGCTTTCAAGCTGAAAAAAAAGAGGAGAAATACAGCTTCAACAACAGCTGTGTGTTCATTATAATGCGAAGTGAGAAAATATGAATATCACTCACTAATGTTCAATTCTAATGTATTTAATGCAAGTCATTACAAAACTGATTTAATGTCTTTATTGTGTCTTGAAGAAACGCCGGACACACCTGTGATATCACCCCTCCCTAACGACATCAAACCCGGGACAGCAGTCACTGTTAAATGTTCAGTCAAACACACATGCTCCTCTCACCCTCCTGAAATCATATGGAGTGTCTCAACAGTTCGAGAAACTATCAGCCACAATCCCATGGGTGGAGGCGTCTGGGAAACAGTGTCCACTGTGAACTTTATTCTCACCGGATATGAAGAGGAAGATAAAATTGTCTGCAACGCCAAATTTTGGGGTGGTAAAACACAGAGCAACAGTTCTGCCCCCCTGAGTGTTAAGAGTGAGTAAAGAGCTTTAGGAGATCTTTGGCTGTATGAATCTGTCCTTTGTTATAGGACAGCTGTAGTAAAATAGAAACTGCACATCTTCATGCTGTGATTAATAATTATTTTAAAAAATCATAGGAATTCAAGCGGTTGGATCTGGGCCTTATATCATTGCTTCTTCACTTGTGTTCATCCTCATTTGCATACTTGCTGGAGTCTTCATTTACAGGAGGCGACAAAGGTACCTGACTTCTTTTTTTTTTGGCTTAAACTCATGCTTCAAAATTTTTTAATCGCTGTGTCGCTGTGCCAAATATTGTAATATTTAAACCTACCATATATCAATTGAAGCATTATTTATCCAGCTTTCATATGAAGTTTAAACCTCAATTTAAAAAAATGGACGTCTAGTTTTAAATGGTTTATCAGTATATCCCCAATTTAGGGTTTTATTTGCAATAAAGCTCTTTGTGAATGTTTGGTATTTGAAACTGTTCCCTTGTAGCGCATTAATTGCAGTGTGAGAAATGAGGAAGTATATATTTAGGACTTTGATTCTGTCATCATTAGTGTGTTCTGATCAACATTTACAAAAGCCAAGTGTGTTTTGAGTTTGTTATGAGTGGATATCAATCTTACACTTTTTGACATATTGCTAAGGAGGGCTCAGTTTATTTATCTTGTAATTTCTGTTTGTATTACCTACCACTGGACAACTTTTGACTTTTACGTTGTCATTATTGATTGTAGACAGCCTTGTGAGGACATAACAAGATCTGAGCCAAGGTATGTTTGACATCTTTATGTAATTCAGAACTGAAGTCTGGTTTTTAATACTCAAGCAATCTCCGTTTTGTAGGAGATCAGTTTGGAACAGATTTTCAAGGTTGGAGTTTACTTTAATGAATTTATCATTTGATTTTGATTTTTGTTCTTGAGTCTAAATTTAGCATTTGTTCTCCAGTCGTTTTAGTATGCCTGATGGAAGAGCAGCTTGGTTTAATAGTGGAAACAGGAGTGATATCAGGCAAGTTCAACAATGAATTGATAAAGCTGTGGTTATTGCTGTTGGTAATGATTCTAATCTCTCTAATACACAAACAAGGGATGCGCCTGGAAGACCACCGAAGCCTGAGCAAAGGTAGATTGAAAATATAATTACAATATTACAAAGATTAAGCATAAACTCAGCACAAATGATCATGTTTGTAATCATAAATTTAAAAAAAAAACTGTAAATTAGCAGTTTTCAATATTTTGTGATTTGCATTTTTATTTTTATCCGTTTATTTATTTACTTCCAACAACTTTTAACCTTTAAAAGTTTGAAAAATTGACTTTTATTAACATTTTAATAGTTTAGAGTGACATTGTCTGGGTTGATGTTGTATATTAAAGTAGAAAAATCTTGTAATAAAATGCATTTTTGTTATTTTCAGACTTATTTATCTATATAGTATTTATTTTGCATTATATTATTATTATTAATATTATATTATATTATTTAAACTATACTAAAACGTCAATAAGTATTTTCTTGATTTCAGACACCAGGTCCAGTAGTACAAAAGACAGACAAAACAATACAAACCAGACAATATAAATTAAAAAAGACAGCTATGCCAATATTTCATCAAAGATGACTGATAACGCACCTCAGTAAGGCTAAGGTTCATCAACAACATTAAAATGCCATTCTGAGACCTCTCTAAGCGACAGATAAACTTGTCAAAAATTTCTCATTAAAGCAAAAAATGAACGAACTCTTACCTTGCAAAATAATTCACTTGCACTGCATCTATGTTTTTTAAGAAGAATCCTCACACAATGTATAAACAATTGTATAAACTTACAGCTTATGGAGATCTCTTTTTTTTTTATTATTCCACAGTGGAGCTGTTTATAAAGAACCTCAATAAGTTCTAAAGAGACTTATCTTAACCTGCTCCGAACACAAATAAAACGTTTTCACCAGCATATTTGCTTGAGCATATCACTTATGACATTCCCTGTACATATCATTATCATCACTCATATCTTAAGTAATGACATGCCCTATATATTTAATAGTTTCACTAACACTGTTGAATTTTGAAAGTTTAATTTTTAACATCAGAAGCTGACAGAACAGAGACCAAGGTCCTATAATACAATTCACAATCGCAAATGAACACATATGAAAACTGTCAATTAACAGATATTTTAATCATTGTACAATTTATTTTACAAATCTCCCCTCTCAACAGACGAAGCATCTGGAGCCGATTTTCTAGGTAATGAATTCATTAAAACTTTGGCTGCGTCCGAATTCGTCTACTACTCATTAGGTACTGCATCTGAATTTGAATTTACAACTCGACCATTGGAAAAGTACATTCTATACAGTGTGAATGTGAGTAGTATGAAAAGAACTTGAACATACAACATCCACCAGTTTGTCATGATCACCTGACCTACCTTCACCAATTGCATCGATTCACTCCCATTCACAATTTCTCTCGCGATGCATCATGGGATATTGTAGCATCTATCGGTTGCGCACTTCAGAATCTTGCCAGATGTAGTAGGTTATCCAGGTACTTCTCACATTCTGTTTTTGAATACTATACTACTCGGCTCACATACTGTTTTTTTTTTTTTGCATACTATTTAGTATGGAAGGGTTTGATTTTGGATGCAGCCCTAATCTGTTGATTTTGTGATGTGTTCCTCTATTAAATAATAAAATCTTACAATTTGTTGATGTAATTCTCTTTTCCATCTAGACACCAATCACCCAGAAATAATGCAAATATGAGAGCAGAATACAAGTCAGTAATCTATTTATAAAATACAATTTAGTATGAAAAATGACCCTGGACCAACAAACCAGTAGTATATATATATTTTTTGCAATAGCCAAATCTCAAAGTTCTTCGGTATATATAAAAACTCAATTTTTAATTAGTAATGTGCATTATTAAGCACTTCATTTGGCAATTTCTCAATGTTTAGATTTGTCTGAATCTTCAGATTGCAGTTTTATTTCAGCCAAATAATGAGTTATCTTAACAAACCATACATCAATGGAAAACATATTTGTTCAGAAATCAGATAATGTTATGTAATGTATATTTTATGCAGTGCATATAATGCCACCCAAAGCCCTTCACAATTGTGTGAGGGTGTTTTTCTTCATGTAAGTATAAATAAATGTTAAAGAGTTGAATTTACAAATGGTTTTGAGGTCCAGGATTGCATATAAGAACATTTCAACCAAAACTACAATCATTTTTTTTTTAAGTTTACAACCCCATACAATTAACCAGTGGATTCATTAATGAACCTTTACTCTTCACAGGGCAAACAACACATGCAATGTGCCACAAAACAAGACTTTCGATAAGCCTCACATGCCGTCACCAAAAAGGTAAAGTACATATTCATTATATTCATGCTAGACAGCAAAATAATACTATTAAATGCAACATATAATAAAAGTCACCATGCCACATTAAGGTTCCTTGGTTTTTTAAGAGTGTTTGTTATAACATAAAACATATAATTTGGAGTATATAAATACTATAAATTAACACATTTACTGGCAATACTGATATTTTAAATATACTGATATTTTTAATATATACAATACTGTATATATTAAAATTCATAAGCGTATACGCCTTGGCAGATACATGCAAAGGTCTATCAATGGTACACTGAAGGAATAGTTCACACAAAAACTTCCCATTTTTCAAACCTGAGATGGGTTCTTTTGCTGAGCACACACATGAAAAAAAAAATTCCATTAGTCATTGGTTACTATCTCTTGTCCCTTTACCAAAGTTTATTTTGTACTTACTGTAACATAAAAGAAACTCATACAGGTATAGAACAAGTGGCGAATAAGTAAAGATAACAGAATTTCAGATTTTGGGTGAACTATCCATTTAAATACATTTACTGTAATTTATGATGAACATTGATTTTGCATTCTTATTTTCCTTTGTGCTCTTCAGTCAACGAAAAACCTGTGGTGTAAGTACATTTACCACTACATTTGCTTTTTTACAAATATAATTTCAGTTTCTAAAACTGATTCATTGACTAATCTAACTGTTTCTGTTAAAATCTTCTTTTTAGGGTTACGATTATGATGCTGATTACACCAACTTATATTGAAATCTCTGATGAAAATGTCCATAATTACGGCTTAGTAATACAAGTAAAAGCAAGAATGGATTGTCTAATTTGTAATCACATTCCTTAGATTTCCTCCAGTGTATCTCTTTTCCATATTGTGTTATCTGTAGCTTGTATTAACTTTGATGTAGATTTATTATTTAAGATCATCCCATAAATAATCCATCCAAAATTTCACTCATTCAGTACACAAATCAAATAACATTTTTAATGAAATATATCATTTGAAAATTTTGCTTGTGCTTCAAATAAGATTTGCGTGGCTTAAGTATTAACAGTAATGTATTGTCATGTATCTCAATTGCTTTAATACACTCAAAAATATATTTAGCTTAATGTTCAAAAAGAGCTAAAACAACACAATTCCTAAGGTTTTTGGGGGGCAACTTAATCGCTTTATGTTCAATCCACTTAAATTTGTAAAAATAGATTTGTGCTGAGACAACATGAAGGAATTGTGTGGAAGACAACATTTTCTACAGTGTATATTCCCATATATACAGTTCAAGTCAGAATTATTAGCCCCCAGTTTATTTTTTTCCCAATTTCTGTTTAACGGAGAGCAGATTTTTTCAACACATTTCTAAACATAATAGTTTTAATAACTCATTTCTAATAACTGATTTATTTTATCTTTGCCATGATGACAGTAAATAATATTTTACTAGATATTTTTAAGACACTTCTATACAGCTTAAAGTGACATTTAAAGGCTTAACTAGGTTAATTAAGTTTACTAGGGAGGTTAGAATAATTAGTTAAGTTAGCTGTTGAATAACGATGGTTTGTTCTGCGGACTATCGAAAAAATATAAAGCTTAATGGGGCTAATAATAATGTCCTTAAAATGGCTTTTAAAAAATTTATAGCTGCTTTTATTCTAGTCAAAATTAAACAAATAAGACTTTCTCCAGACGAAAAAAACATTATCAGACATACTGTGAAAATTTCCTTGCTTTGTTAAACATCATTTTGGAAATATTTAAAAAAGAAAAATAAATTCAAAGGGGCTAATAATTCAGACTTCAACTGTATGTCTACTAGAAACTCAAGTTGTTAAAGTAACAACATTTCAGCAACATTTATGAACCAAAAATTTCCTACATACCAAAAATGGCTGCAATACACTTCAAATAACCTAAAAATAGGAATTATCTAGTCTGTTTTTGCCCTAGATTTGACACAATTAACCTTTCAGCTAAAATTATGAAGTTCATTTTGTTACATAACATAGAACACAGAAGTTTAATGTTTTATACTCATGTCATCCAAATATACTTTATAAATAAGCTCTTGTTTAATCCCACCCCTTTTCAAAGCTCCATACAGCAGAATTTCACATGCTCAAACTCTAGTGTGACTGTGCCTTTAGACTGTATTTTTAATTAGGAACAGGTCACATTTGTTGTTCATGAATTATACGTTTAGGACCAAATGCTGCATGGAGTTTCATGCCTTGGGTTTGTGTGTATTCTCATGGACACTATCTCAACATTCTGAAGATTGTTTTGCAGGGCTAGTTAACAGCCAATTAGCAGCTCATGCTGCCGTGCCTCCTGCTCCATGCAGTCAAATAAAACCTTTTTTAAATCATGTTACAGTATGCTAGCGCAGACTCCACATAATCTACTGAATATGATGATTTTAGAGGAAATCAGAATGAATCAAAACTTAATTTTATTTTCCAGATAAAAATGTCTCATGCCAATTACAGAATCAAACAATTCAGAAATAAATGCAAAACATCATTCAAAGATAAACCAAAGAGTATAGATGAAAGTCCAAATTATACATAGTGTTGAGCGTGAGAGCTCTGCAGTATCAAAACAATGTCATTGTAAAAAATAGTTTGAAAAGCTAGTTCTGAGAGAAGCACAATTAAAAATGTTCAAATTGTATTTTGGGGCAACTTTAAATTTAATTTTTTGAAGATCATTATGTTTCTGTCCAAAAAAAAGTCCACAGCAGCTTAAAATGGATATTTCTGGAGGTGAAAGGAGGGGCGACGCTATCACAGTAATATGCAGCTTTCCACGTGTCCACACAGCAAACCAAATAGCCTATCGCTCTGAACGGTGTTGAAGGATCTGATGAAATAAAGCATGAGTCCTTTAAAGATGGCTACATGAAGCACATCTGTAACTTTTTTGTGCATTATTTACTCCTAAATGTAAAATGAGAACAAAGCTCAAAGTTTTTTGGAGGGACAGCTTAATTGTTTTGTGTTTAGTTCAATTAAATTTGTAAAAATGATTAAGTTCACTTAATCAATTTGTGTAGTGTATATTTGTGTATGTGTACATATATGTCAACTAGAAAATCAAGTTATTAAAGTAACATTTCAGCAACATATGAGCTTTAATTTTCCTACAAGCCAAAAATAACTGCAATAAACGTCTCAATGAAAATGTTTTCGGGGGAGTGATAATAAATCTCTTTTAGATAGAATATGTTTTTGTTACATTTTGCAGATTGTATTTTGTATCCAAGTAAAGTTTAATGTTTATTCTCATGTCATCCAAATATATTTTATTAATAAGTTTGACAAATGCAACTGACAAGTTACAGTACTATATTTGGTCTTTAGAAAACTAAAAATGACCCCTATTACTGTCAAAACGCCTATTAAAAACTTTTTACATCTGTTTACGGTATAATGTACTGCTTAATGTATATTGTAATGTTTACAGCTTGATGCTTTCCAATGTTTAAAGTCAGAATCTTCCATTTGTCCATACGCTCCCACACATTCACTTTTAACAAGAGCTTTGAATGTTTCAAATGTTTCAGCAGCTTGTGGTTGAGTTGTTGTTCATTGGTGCAGTTCTTTGGGTAGTGTTTATCTGACATTGATCTGTAGAAAAGGAAAATAAAACAGCTCAATAATTTCAGTTCCTCCTTTTGATTTGTTTTTTTTGGGTGTAGTTTTTAATTCTGCCTCTTCAGTTTTTTTTAAGATCATCATCTTTAAAATGTCAATGCAAATGACTTTCTTTTAAAACATGGAATTAGCTTTTAGTTTGTAATGAATAAAAAAATATTTGGACAATATTTAAGCTGATTTTCTCAGTATTTTTATATTGTTTTGAGCACTCAGATTCCAGATTTTCACAGTTTTGTATCTTGGCTAAATATTATCATATTCAAGTAAACCATGCTCTAATGGAAAACGTTTATATTATTTCTTATTTGTAATGTATAGAAGCAATTTGACTATTAGGACTGGTTTTGTGATCCAGGGTCACAAATGTTAAAAACTATGCCACTGCTGTTCCCTTGACTTTAGGTATGCACAGGTATCAAATAAGTTATGGAACCACTGATCTAAAATATGAACAAATTAATTTCTGGAAGACTCGTGCTGGACCACAAATCATTATCAAATCAATGTATTCTGTCCTATACCTGCCTGTGAATCTGTGTCTGCATACATCTCATAATCACTGTTTGCACATTGTTTAAAAATTACCACAATTTAGAGATCATGCTTTGAGCTGTTTACATGCTCTGGAGTTCTGTAGGTTATTTCTATTTCGATACGCTTGCTTTGGCAGTCAAGTTAAAAATTAACATTTACCAGTTGTAATTATGAGTTGTAGGGTGTGATCATTTTTTTGCCATTCAGATTGCCGTAATTTATTATGGGATGACATAAATAGACAAACGTATCACCATCCTGTTCCATAAGGCTACGCAAATTGTGATAAAGTAATTCAGTATTTGTCCTATGTAGTTAGCCTATGTAGTAAGCTATGTTTTAGTACTGTAAATGAGTTTGTAAATTAAGTTTGGAATTGTTAATAACAAACACACATACAGTTAATCCATTTGGTAAAACCACAGTTTTACAGTACAATTATTAACTATTTTATCCAATGGCAGTGATTTAATTTATTATTTTCAAAAGTGTGCAGTAACTGTTGTAGTATTAGCAGGAACTGAATTTCTTCCCTGAATGAGTTTGAAGCTCTTTTACAGTAATGTCACACACATTAGAACAGAGATGTGACAATGGATCAGAGACCCCACCGCCCACTAGTGTTTCTGAAGTAACAGTGCAGAATGACACATACAGAATGAGTGTAAATGTTCACAGTTGCATCAACTATGTACAGGTGATGCTTCTTAAGGTTGTATTTAGAATCTGTACAAGTAGGCTTATATGCAGCATAAAATATGATATGTGATATGCATGTTTTGTATTGGCGAGAAAAGAGGGAAGAATGCACAAACACTGGTGTAGTTTAAAGCCCTAATGCATTGTTTACTTGCAAGTGTTCGGTGTGTATGTTTGAAGTGCAGGAGTCCATGGGGAGGTGAATAATAAGCAACCACTGGAGTCTGCTATGCATATATAGAGCAGAGATGTTTAAAGTAGAACCCGTAGGCCACATTTAGCCAATCGCCATTCTATCTAAAAAGAGAGGCAGAATCATGAGTAGTTGATTCTGGGGAATGCCTTTGACAGAATTCGAATTTAATGTAAACTTTAGTTTTAATGTAATTTTTGTTTTATTGAGGAGCAACAAAAAAAGTGTTCCCAGAGATGGGTGGTGACTGGAAGGGCATCCGCTGCGTAAAAACTTGCTGGATAAGTTGGCGGTTTATTCCGCTGTGGCAACCCTAGATTTAGGGACTAAGCCAACAAGAAAATGAATGAGTGAATAAATGAATGAACAAAAAAAGTGAAATGTTAAAACTGAATTAGACTTTTAAAACATAAACACTGTCAGATAGAGGACAATGCACAAGACATCGGTGAGCAAATCAAGACAAAGGCACGAGCAGCTCGAATAGTAATTAGCTTTATTGTGTTATAAATGGGATTGTTTATGTT